GTTTCGTCGGAACGAAGTTTACGGAAAATCAATTAACAAACGGAGACGTAACAGTATGTATTTATTAATTATGTTTTGGGTAAGTGTTAAATTTTATATTACAATTGTATGAAAGTTTATATTGGACTTATGTGGTTATCAAAGTTTAATAAATTCGTTTTGTTTTGTTCGACTTTGGTTGTAGCAGTTGTTTGTTTTCGTCTGTTATCATAGAGCAATAGAGGACACTAAATTATTCTAGTGAGTTTGTGACTATATTAAAAGTTCCAATCTATTTTGTTTTGCTACAGACTTATTATTTTTTAACATTTTTATGATTGATGAATAAGAATATTTTTGTTGTGTGTATGTATGAATGAAAACAAGAGAATAGAAATTGAAAACCATTATCATCTGAGACAGAAAGAATGGTTTTTAGTTGCATTAACTTAAAGACAAAAATATTCAAACCCATTCTGGTTACATTCCTCTGAAAAAGACTATACGATCAGTGGTTCATCAGGGACTATAATGAATGTCAATATATATATATATATTAAGAATACCACCAAAATTTCCCTCAATCCCATGCTGTTGCTACCTTTGATAATCGCCCATATATCAGACAGCAATACTATGACTTAAAGCAAAATACCTAACTTTGATGTACATAAATTAGGCATTTAATTATAGTAATTAAAGATTGCACAACTTTTATTTATACATACTAATTCATATATGAAACGAGAAGAAACTACATGTAACACATGCACTATCGGGCGTGTTGGTCTCCCTCCATGCAACCCCGTGAGGTATTGTCAAGTTTGATTTGAATTTCCCGCAAAGCTACACGAGGGCTATATACGCTAGCCATCCCTAATTTAGCAGTGAAAAACTAGAGAGAAAAGGCAGCTAGTCATTACCAACCTGCCAGCTCTTGGGCTATTTTTTACCACCAGATAGTGGGATTGATCGACACATTATAACGCCCCCATGGCTGAAAAGCCAAGCATGTTTGGTTGGCTGCGAATCGAGCGCCCTAACCACCTGACTATGCCAGATCAGGTATTTTCAATGAAAAACAATTTCTCGACACGATAGGCAAGCACCCAATAAGAGCAGGGTTCAGTAATAGATAAATGGAACTGAAGTTATTTAAGTGTAAAATAAGATGTCTGGATAAACTGAAATAAATGAACCAAATTTTTATTACAACAAATATCCGGAAACACAGTGTGCCTACCTACACGGACGAAATGACAGTCCATTCTACTAGGTTGTGTTTCGCTACGCAGTTTTCTCTCTCCTATGATTAATCTCCATAAAACTAAATAAGTTATTATCGACAAAAATCTTTATTTGACAACCTCCTAGAAGAAACTGGTTAAAGAAAGCGCACTTGAATTCAATAGGTAAACTTGCTTTCTTTGTCTAGTCCACAGAGTAATCTCTTGACCTTTGGTTGACTGTTACATTCAGCAAACGTAATAATCGGCCAGTAACGGATATTACAATGCCAATCCTTGATTCCTTGCGATATATTACTGCAATAATCTCTCGAGCAGAAAGATATCACCTACTATAGAGAACAAAGAAACAAAACAACTAGGTAATCTTTACGACTAAAGCAGATAGAAAATATCCGTTTCACTGCTTAGTGTTAATTTGCTTTTTAAACGTATATTTTTAAAATACAAATCTTTGTATAAAAATGGTAAATCAGCACACTTGTAAGTGCGAAAAAGTTGTGCCAAGTGTAAAAACTGAATCGAGACCGACTTTTATATCAAATCGGTAGGGTCTTTCATATTTTTCTTCTTCTCAGTAAAATTAAACTTGGAATTAGAGTAAATTCTATATTTTTCTAGAACACAAAATAAATATTTTTGCTCCTCAACACTTATAATAAAAAAAATAAATAAATAAGACAATAGCAAAATAAAATAAATTAGAATCGGGACCGAAAAACTGACTTTTTAGTATTTCTAGGAGATTGCTTGTGATTTGCTTAGATATCTTCATAACGTATGTAATGCCTTTTCCAGTCTGCTTGAACTTCGAAGTAAATAGTTATCTCAGTTGAGTTTTATTTCGTTGGGTTTGGTGGTTACATTAGACGTAACTAGTGGCAGAAACCTAGGGTTTGGATTATTTGTAAAAATTTAAAGAATACGAATAGAAATACACGTATTATCCTTATTAAGGCTACTTGCACTTTGATCTGACGTGTGGTTTCTAACTCTAATATCTAAGCTAAGGTACGTTATCACTTTCTTTTCTCAAACTAACACTAACAATAAAATTTATCCTTTAAAAGTTACAAGTAAGTAGAACTAGAACTTCAGTGGAAGAACGGAGACCTACATGTTACTTGTAGTGAAAATTACGTATTAATACTAATATTAATAAATTAGGAATGACTCCCTCACGACTCTGGTTAAAAATAAAATGTAGATAAACATAAAGTAACGTTCCAGAGTAAAACCTAAGAGCTATAACTTATAAATTCAAGGCTTATCTTGCTCATGCTTAGTTTGTTAAATTAAAACTTATCTTCATTTTGTTCGTATGTTCTTCACTTCAGACTGACAAACAGCATTTTATCTAAGTCTGATGAAGGGCTTGTCAGTATCATTCCATTACACATTAGCCCAAAATGTAGCTAAATTATAAATAGACTTAATAAACTAAGTTTTTGATCATACATGGGTTTTTTATTAATTTCATTAACCTTTTTAATGATCATGTGTATGTTGTGTGGTAATACGTGTAGTGTATTGTTCCTTAGTACTACAGGCTCCAACATGAGACACTATTTATTTATTACTTGAAAACTTTAAAATAATTATTAAAAGTTTGGATGTTACTTTATGCTTTACTTATGGTCCAAATCATTATGTCAAAGCCAAAAATTTGGGAATCATAGGTTCTTTTCTCTTCCAGAAAACATTTTCTCTTATCCATGTTGAAAATTTACTGAATATATAGGATTGGAAGATGTAGTTTCAGTATTGTGCTACTCTCCCTTTTGTATATGTTGTAAAGGTATTCATGAACATTATTTCAAAGCCAAGAAAATTAGGGGTCACAATATTTGTTCTTCCCTCTGAGGACAATTTCTGTTTAATCTATTTAAAATATATTAAACATCTAAAACTAGGTACTTCTATTCATAAGTATATACTTATTATATGTATATCATTTATGTATAGTTATAATTTGTTTTTAAATTGGAACTAAATATTAACCCAGTATTGAATGCAGCTATTTAATATACTGTTCTTACATTCTTACAGTGTTGTTATTTTTGGCCATAAGATTTAATTATGTAAGGTGATATTATGTGTGGCTTGGTACTAGTGCAACAGTTGTTTTATAATAATGTGGCTTTTGTACATTTTACTAACTTGGAGTTGTGTGAGAAAATGAGTTTTGAGAATTCTAGTTTTTATTGGAAATACTAAAGAACAATTGATTATCTTTTTTTAAACTTTATGAGGTTTTTTCTGGAAAGGAAATTAGTATTTAATTAGTGGGGATAGAATAGGATATTTTTTGTTGCACAAGTTATTTAAATGTGTTCAATCAAAATAAATATTAAAGAAAAGTACTGAGGATTATTCATGTCTGAAAGGTCCACCCAGTATTTTGAGATGTCCTCTTGTGGGTGGTTTAAGAAAAGCTATAAAACATTTTAGCAATTCTTTGGGATTTTTTGAAGTGTTCTAACTAGTATGCATAATAATATTAAAGGTGTCCAAGATTTTTTTGTGCAAACTTTCAAATGTTCTTTATTCCTGTGATGTTATCTTTTTTGTTTATACCCTAGACTTAGACATGGTTTCTAGTTGAAGGCTCTTGATTATTAATCAGATGTTTATAAAAGCCTTCTATATATTAGGTTTAATAAGTTGGGATTCTTGAAGGTTTAAGCTTAGTTTGATTAACTGTTCTTTTCTGTTTAATTAATAGAGAAATTTATCAGATTTTTGGCTCAGCTATCTGAACAAAAAGTTGAACCCATATATGCAACTGTAGTTATGAGATTTTTTTGAAATTGTATCTTTTTAACATTTTGACACAATTCCTTGAAGTTAACTATGTTTTTTGTTATTTAACTTGTCCTGGTAGTTATAGACTTATTATTCTTATATCAATGATGGGAAAAGTTTTTTAGTGTCTGATAAAAAATGCTTGCAAAGTTACTTTTTTTGGGTAGTTAACATGGTTTCACTAGGGGAAAAATCTTGCCTTACTAATTTTTTGATATTGTTTGATGAGGTTACTACATATATAGATGAGGGTAAGGGTGTAGATATGGTTTGTTTGGATTTTAAGAAAACATTTGACAAAGTGCCATATAAAAGGATTGTTGAAAAATGATATAAGTGTTGTGGGGGGATAAGTTGGCTCATTAGATAGAAAAGTGGCTGGAGGGAAGAAAGTAGAGGATGTTATTAATGGATTTCAGTCAAACTGGATTAATGTCAAAACTGGGTATTTCAGGATTCATTGTTTGCTTTTTTTATTTGCATCAATAACTTATATGAAGGAATGGTCAATAAAGCAATTACAATTACTAATGATATTAAAGTTTTGGGTGTTGCTGGCTGTGATGAGGATGATGTTGCTTTACAAAGGTATTCCGCTCATTTTGTGAATTTTACAAATAAATGGCAGCTAGCTTTTAATTATAATAAATGCAAGGTAATGTGTGTGGGTTATCCTAACTTAAGTAATAAGTGTCATAGTACAAAGGAATTTTGGTATTCTGGTTGATCAGTCACTACCCAAGCAGTGTGCTGTTTCTAATGGTAGGGAAAATAGGATTTTAGGTTGTATCTACAGAAATACATGTAAATAAATGTCTATATGTATGTATGTATGTATGTGTGTGTATCTGTTCATTATATGTTTCCAAACTTGACACAGTGATACAGGATGACATGAGGAAAGTAATGGAGAATTACACCCCCCATCTGATGTCATATCTAATTTTGGAATATCATTCTGTTGCTGAGGGGTATACCAATGTTGTATAACCCTCAGCATTAGAATGAACTATGTAACCACTATTGTTAAAATTCTTGAAAACAGTATGTCTTTCTTTTCAGTTTTGGTACCTTTATATATTTTTATTGCACTTTTAATGTTTATTATGTTAAGAAAAAAACAATAGAAGCACAATTTCCTATCCTCTGTTACAAACAAGTTTTTATTTTGCCCGTCCAGCTGGTATTGAATAAAGCTACATAATTAGGAGAGGTGCCTCGTTGTTTGGGGGTCTTGGGTTTGATTTCTATTGCTAAAACTTGCTCTCCCTGTTTTTCTTTTTTCTTATTTATTGCAGAGCTACTAAGGCACTGTCATTAATTTTGAACTGCTGATGAGAAGAAAGGGAACTGGCTGGCAGCACCCACCTCCAACTTTCTTATTACTAATGTGTTAAATAAGGTGTAAATTTTATCTATTTGTTTATATTGTGTTATGTTACTAATTTATAATAGGTGATTATATTATTTACTGTTTTATAAGCAGGTGTAAATCTAGTGGAGGTGTCCAGGGAGTCTAGACCCCTCTATCCATTTTGTTTTCCTCTGGAAATTAATATCTGTATTCTTCAATGTTGTATAAGCAGGTGTGGATCTAAAGGGTTTGGATGTTTCCATTTTTTCATGAATCAGTAACTGTATTCTTTCATAATATGTAAGCAGGTGTGTATCTAGGGGGTTCATGGAGTCAAACTCTCTACACACATTTTTTTCTGAAACTAATAACTGTTTTTTAATGTTGCATATGTACGTGCAGATGTAATGAGGATTGAAAACCACCTCTTCCATTTTATTTTATTTTTTTCAGAAAACAACCAGATGTCTTTACACTACCATATCATATCAAAAAGAAATACTGGATGTCAATGTTTTTATTTAATTGGGCTATTATTAACCATAAAAGCTTTTTTGAGGTTTTATGAAATCAACACAGCTGAAATCTACAGCAATTCAATTAAGGCCTCAGCCAATAACTGATTGTTTTTAAGCTAATACAACATTATAAATGTCACTTATAGGTTGCCTTAGTAAATTTTCATGTCTTGCCTTCTTCCAAACACTAACAATGCTTCTAGACTAACTGTTTCTCTTCATCAAAGTTAGTATTGTTTTGCCCACTTGTATTTTCTTTAACTGTATAAAGAAAGCCTTTTAATTTTTTTTTTCCAAACAGGCAATCTTTTTACCAATGATATAATTTTCTTTTTAATATTGTTATAAGTAATTATAACTCTTTAATTGAAAAGTTTGATATATTTGTTTCTGTTTTTCTTTTTCATATCAAGTCACATCATTGGAAATGAAGATATAAGCTTTGAAAATGCTAGAGACATTTACTGATTGTGTAATGGGCTTGTCAATTAATTGATTATCAAGTGCCATTATTTCCCAAGCTCTAGATGTCCTATATTTTAAGGATGAACTTAGCTACTTTAGTTTGTAGATAAAATAGTGTAACACATTTAGTTCTCTGAGGTTAGGCTTCACAATGTTATTAGCAGGCTACTTGTATGTAATATTGATTATAAATTTATTCTCAAATGACAGTGGTTAAGAGCATCTTAGGTGTGAAATGATTACAGTTTAAAAAGTGCAACAGCTGCAAAGTGTGGATTTTATTTCAAAATCGGGAATTGGCTTGCACTTTTAAGGAAGGTAGTGGTGAAGATGTACAATTTGTTTGTAGAGTTTACAAGTTGTAGGAAAAATTGGAGGATATCCTATATAGACTAGAGGTGTTCTAGCCATTGGATAGGTCTGCTGAATAACAAAATTCTTTCAAAATATTGGTAACAAGTTGTAACTAAAAGATTTATTTAACTGAGTCGGTGTAAAATGAAATACGACTGGACAAAAGTAATATATTAAATGAACAATCTTTATTAATACACTAAACACACACACAGTGTGTTTACTTGAAGAGCACTTACATCAGACAACTACTTTAAATAATTTCTCTTAGTTTATTTAGTGAAAACCAAATTCCAGAATAGTAGAATGAGAAGTGTGAGACTAACCAATTGCCAGGTCTCTGAGAAACCTCGCATTTACCCAGAGCAACATGAACTACAACATGACTAGTCATTCTCATTACAACATAGGTAGGGCTGTTACATCTAGATATCACCTTTAACAATCATTGAAGGACACTGCTGTCAACAATATTACACAACATTATAATAAGCAATGTTCTCCATGAGTGGTAA